GAAGTCGAGGGTTCATTTTGTAAGACGCTGCTGACATATCAATGACTCATCTGATTTAGGTTGATGTTATCTAGTGCCTTCCCTTTCAACCCCAACAGATCTGATTGGTATCTCTCCCAGCGAGCTGCTATAATTTTCTATTAACCTTTGACACCCTAACATGGGTATACAAATTCTCCATACTGTTCTTAAGGTGCTGACAAAGAGAATTGCTTAACAATGAAAGCTTGATCATTTCCTTTATTCTCGTGACCTCCATATGCGATCCAAGGGGTGATAATTGTAAGGAGGAATCAGATTTTAGTCACTCTTAAGAGGGTCTAAGGATTAATGGAGCTAAAAGAAAATCATTCTACATTTATTTTAGATAACTTCCTCTAACAAATAACTTTATCCCTTCTTATGAACTCTTTGCTTATGACTTTTTTACTCTGTTAGGAGAGGGTACATCTGCATATGTGGGATATACAACGCCACTACTACATGCAATTGTGGGAATAGGGTAACTTAAACAAAATTTACTAATCATGTTATGAGAAGTGAACTCTAATTCCAATTAATCAAGTTATATCAATGCCTATAACCAAGGCAAGCACAGGTGAAAAAGATGTGTGAAATTCTGTAAGTGAGCCTAGAAACAACAGCTGCACTTGGGATAGTTGCAACACCGAGAATGGAGCATGTAGAAAATGTCTTCCATCAATATTGGAAATTCCCCACTAAGAATTTTCATGAGAACTATCAAAATGGAACCATACAAGTCTCATCACACATAAAGAGAGTAGTCCGCTTAACTTTTATACCATACAGGCTGGTTAACGGCACAAATTTGAAATTTCTACATTCATTCCTCAATCACCAAGCTAACACATCACTTTACATGCAACTACAATCTAATTGTTACTTACCCAGCAGGTCTGATAACAGACTGGACCTCCTCACTGTTGATGAGGCGATTGAGGTCAGCATTGCTCATGATTGTTTTGGGAAGACTTTAAAAGGTGAAAAACGAAACTTGTGTCAGTTAAATATAAGCATTCAGTATAATCATTATGACAATCTCTTGAGATCACAAGATAACACTTAAATTTGCAATAATGGGTGAATCTAGCCAAGCAACTCAAAACCCCTGAACCAATTCCAGCCTTCTGGAAACCAGTCATTGCAAACAAGTCTTAAAGACTCCTAAACACTTTTAGTAGAAAGAACAATGACAGGCACTAGTATTGGTGATCTACCATTTTAGCAAATTTTTTATAGTCAGCAACCTTGTCAGCTATAATGTGCCAGAAAATCTTGTCTCAAGGCTCAAGTGAAATCAATGAGCTTTGAATCTTTCAATCTTATATGCAGTGAGCAACACTTGTCTATGGCAGGCCATTTGTAGCAATATTCAATAATTCTTTCATTCAACTGCAATTTAACCGTTCAATTCAGCCCCAATTCAACCATTCAACACTCCCATTCAACCATTCAACCCCAATTCAACTATTCAACCCCATTCAATTATATAATCCCAATTCAATCATTCAATCACGCATTCAACCATTCAATCCTGCATTCAACTGGCGGATTGGGGAACCTAGCACGAAAGATAGCCAAGCTGGAGCATGAAACCTAAGTTATCACAGAAAGCAAGATAGCAGCAGATGCACAGAAATTTGAGCTAACAGAAATACCTACAACTCAGTTCTGTAAGATTCCTTTCGAGGTGGAACCATTGGAAAAGCATGCTGTAACACTTGACAAAACAATCTCCTTTTTAAGAAGGCTGGAAGATTGTTTCCAGTTTGAAGATAACGAGAAAACACAGTTGCAAAAATTACATCCGCTTTTGATGATATTTTACAAGGCTGGAACCATTTATTGTCTCTAGCTTCCATTATCACAACATCTGTCGCTAACTTGGGCTCAGACAGACAAGCAAATATTTCTTCACCCGGGAGGCCATCGTACAACATATCTTCTGAAATACTTGAGGAACTTCTGCAAAGAACTTTGGGAAACCACAGGCAACTCATCTTAGTGTGTATCTCGAGCCAACAAAAGTTTTCGGTCTTTTTAATTCAATTTTTATTTAATTCTTTTATTGAACCTGTCCGAAGAAATATGTTACAATACTACAACTGTCAATCGAAGGAATATTTACTGGGTACAATATTTCCAAGTTAACATAAAAGACGTATTAGGACGTCTTTCGTGTAATTGTGCCAGGTTACTCAGTCCTGCAACCATCATGTCTGAATGCGGGATTGAATGGTTGAATGCAGGATTGAATAGTTGAATTGGGGTTGAATAGTTGAATAGATTCTTGAATAGTTGAATAGATTCTTGAATGGTTGAATGGGGGTGTTGAATGGTTGAATTGGGGTTGAATTGAACGGTTGAATTGCAGTTGGATGGTTGAATGAAAGAATTATTGAATATTGCTACAAAAGGCCTGCCATACTTGTCACAATCCATTAACTTCAACTTCACAAAAATTAAATGAAACTTGTCTCACTTGAAATCCTTCTTTTCTGTGGATGGTTTCTTTCCTGTTCCATACAAGGCATCAAGCTTCTCAATTGCACCCTTGCTCCAGATACAAAACCTAAGGGAAAAATCACAACAAAATAAACTGAAAATCTGTATCATCCACGATGTCCCTAAAAATTATGACAGATTCCAAAAGCAGAGGTTAAATGTGTGTTGACTTTAAGATTGTACAAGCTGTGGTAATGAGGAGAAAAATAAGCTCGTGTTCTTGATATTTATCTTGTGTCCTCTTACCTGCCCAAGTGACCGCCAGGGCAAAGCTTCAGAAGATTCAGACGATCCACTGACAAGATATCAACACCAGGTAAGTTGCGGAAAGCCTTTTTCACTCCATGATCTTCATTGTAGATGATGAGGGGCCCTTTGCGCATCACAGTCCTGCGGTTACGCATCTTACCCTGATTGCAAATTCAAAATAAATATTACCAAGAACTGATACAAGTGTAAAAGAGAGGAGATCTACTTAAAAACATAGGCATGCTACGCATGCAGGACTTATTTTTTTGGATACGTGGGTTGAAATGTGTAGTGTTTTAGTTAAATAAATAAATAAACTTTAGTAGCTAACACAATTACTGGTAACCCAGTAGTTTACATTGTGGGCTGTATTAGAAAGAATTGTAAAAACTAGATTATCAAGAACAGCATGCACATAAATATATTCAAAACGTTCTAGAGATAGTAAAATGTTCACAATCTGAATTACTTTGTAAAAAATTGTTCACTAAAAGTTTCTTAAAATTGCTTTCATCTGTAACAGTTTTAAATTTGTCGTCCAGACGATTCATAAAGTAAGTGGCACTCACATGAAATGTTCAAAGGCATGTGTTGGAGCGACATTTCCGCACGGCGAGATGATCATTGAAAGAAGTTCGCCTATTATAAGAATGGGTGCTTTTTGCATAAGTTTTATAGCTTGTAAAATAATGCAGACACTCTCCGTTCACAATTTCGAACATCATGCACAATTTCTTCATGCATTATTACATCATCAATTAGCATCCATTGTAGTTTCTTGAACATTGGAACCGAGTTATTGTGAAAACTAGCATCTAATATTAACCTACTACAACATTTCTGCACTTCAAGTATTCTTAACAATTGGTCATCAGGGGCGTTACCCCAAACCGAACAGCAATATTCAAAGACAGGCTTAATAAGCGCATTAAATAACAATTTTCTGCAGTGGAGGTCAAGGTAGCCATTCGCTCTTTTAACAGATAAATTCTAGAGTTCAGCTTCCTAATCAAGTATTCAATGTGGTTGTGCCAGCTAATGTGCTTGTCAATCTTGACGCCTAAGAGTTTTTCATCCTTCTTCTTCTTCTAAAATTTGAGTCTACATGGCACCCTCCAGAATTTGATACTGTTTTGTGTACATACTGGTATAAGTCCAAGTTAAAAGCCTGCCAAATATTTTTCCCAAAGTCCGAACAGTTCACGAGATACAGTGGTTCGAGTTGTTGATGCAGCAGCAGAGATAAACGAGGACTTTGGAACTGATTACAGCACTCATCCAAGCATTCAGGCCATACTAATTAAGCATTCTTCAAACATGATGACAAATTTCAATTTTGAACTTACTAACTCAAAGCAAATGAAGAAGTTTTTGTCAGAAATGAATACGCGTAAATCCTGCGGCCATGACCTTATACCTCCATGATTGCTGAAGGATTCTGCATCCGTGGTATCAGAGCCTCTTGCAAAATTATTGAACTGTTCAATCAATCTAGGTCACTATCCTTCACGCTGAAAAATGGGGCAAGTGACCCCTTTATTTAAGAAGGATGAGGGATTTTGTAAAAAGAACTATAGACCGGTATCTGTTCTTTCGGGCCTCAAAGGCTTTCCACAGTATCCCTCATGCTCTCTTGCTTGCCAAACTCAAGGCTTATGATCTTTGCGAGATGAGCATTGGACTCTTGAGAAGCTACCTTTTTGCAAGAATACAGCGCCTAGAAATTGGAGACACATTTTCTGAATGGGAGTTAGTGAGAAGAGGGGTCCCCCAAGGAAGTGTCCTTAGCCCAATATTTTTCAACATGCACATCAATTATTTATTCTATCACATTGAGCAGGCAAATTTGAATGCCTATGCCGATGATCAAAAGTTGCACTCGTCTGAAAAGGACCTCGAAATGCTAAACACACGGCTGGAATACGAACTTGGAATTGCTAACAGTTGGTATGACGATGAAATGGCATGATTGTAAATCTAGACAAGCATCTGGCAATGGTGATTGGTGGGAATAGTGAATCTGAATTTTCTTTTCCTGTCAAACTCCGACAACTCACTAAGCGCTTTTGTAAATCGGACCTAACTATCAAACTAGTTTTCACTTCTTTTAAAATTAAAAACATGTTCAGTGTTAAAGATCGTACTCCTGATCCTCTAAAATCCATGGTAGTTTATCAATTTTCATGTGTGGGATGTAATTGCCGTTATATTGGCGAAACTAGACGCCACTTCTCTACTAGGATAAAGCAGAACACGGAAAGCGATAAAAACTCGCATATTTTTAAGCATTTCAACATATCTCCTTCTTGTAAGAACAAATACTCCCTTTCTTTCTTTAGTATTCTGGATTCTGCTAACAACTCAATTGATTTAAAGCTCAAAGAAGCTTTCTTATATAAATAAGATAAAACCCGAAATTAAAAATTACAGCATTATAACACTCTTCTAGCGTTTTAGTTCACACCTTTGATGTTTGGTGTCATGTTGTAATTAGTACCCGCTTTTGTATTACATCATACTGTAATACAATATAAATATTCTATTCATCTACTTGTCTGTTATATAATTACTCATGTTCTGTTACTCATTGATTGGAGATGGCATAAGCATGCCGAAACATGTCTCTCAAAAAAGTTGCCTATTTCTTACAATATTTGAGCTTTAATTTTCACATCTCACAGATGTGATTTAAGGTTAATAAACAATTTGGTGTTCTCAGGGGCCTAGCGTCCTATACGCATATACGCACGTGCGTACTTCAAGTGACCAGAAAAGTTTGAAATTTTTAGCAAATGTTTCTATTTTTACTCTAAGTTTACTTAGGTTTCTTGACCATATGTACTTGTGCGTACTTGAAAAAGTGACCACGCTACGCCCCTGGTTCTTAAGAGATTAAAAAACATTATTACCAGTCATGTAATGTTGCGTTTATATAAAGCTTTTATTCTACTACACTTTCAATATTGCTCTCTTGCAAGTACAATACAAGTGCAGTACATTGATTCATTTACCCGTTTGGCTGATAAGTATCACCTCTTCGCATGGCTAATGACTTTGCACATTGCAGACTTTTAAGCCTTGCTTGGAGACCAAAATAATCCATTTTAAAGGACAATGGTCATACAGAAGAAGACATTCTTCAACTTCGCTTGGTCCTTAAGTTAACATTAACGCGAGCTTAGTAAAGTTAATGCTAAACGACGTCTTGAATGCTAGAAAAACAGTAGCCGAACAAAACTACATTGACGCTGATTGATCGACTGTGTCAAATTCAGCATTGCTTCACTGGAATTTACCCCTCAATGATAATAACTCAGTTATTAAAGTAAGGCAGGAACAACGCAGTTCCTTTCCTCTGAATTATATATTTAGGAAATGTTTCATTCGTTATTTTACTGAAAACACACTATTCAGAAATATGGCGTTACTGAAGTGCCACAAAAGTTACATGAGTGCCAGGTTACAGTAGTGCCATAAGTTACATAAGTGCCATTAAAGTTACAAAAGTGCCACTGTAGGTTACACGAGTGCCACAGTAAGGTTACAAAAGTGCCTTTACGTCTCTCTCTCTCTCTCTTCAAATTCTCAGTGCAAACTTACTTTTCCTGCACGAATCTTCTTCGACTCCTTACATTTTTCAACATCCCCATAGGCATTTACTGACTTAAGGAGCTTCACTGCAGCACTAGTCTTCTGCAGAGATTCAATTCCATCTGAAACAACCAATGGAACCTCAGGGATCTCATCAACACGGTGACCACGAGCCATCACAAGAGCAGGGAGGGCAGAAGCGGCCAAGGCTGAGCACATAGCATATCGGCGCTGTTTCTGATTGATCTTGCGATGCCAGCGTCGCCAGGTTTTTGTAGGGGCAAACATACGTCCACCTCTACACATCTGAGTTGCAAGTAAAGGAAGTACAAAACTATTGCAGAAAACATAATGTAACTCTCAGATAAGGTGCACGTATATTCCTATTCATAACACACCCCCTTCAGGCAATATTCAATTAGAAATAGTCCTAACTGCTACAAGCACAATGTGAAGACTGAGTTTGGTCAATCACGTTATGATGAACCATCAAGATCTTCCCAAGATGATGACACCAGGTCAGTCATTTAGTTTGCTGAGAATGCAGGCTGTGCTTAGTGACTTAGAACTCTTCATTTCAGCATCAAAATCTATACACACAGATGTAAAAAACAACAAGGGTTTAACTGTGAATGGGAATATCTTAATATTTGCATTCCAATCCAATTGTAACATGTTTGATGTTACAGAAATGCATACAATTCAATTAGGATAAATTAGTAACAAACACAAATCTAACACCATGGTAAAGGGAATTTAAGTCAAGGTAAGTCAAATGCCTTGCATATTGCCAGATTAATAACCGAATTGTCAAATGCCAACTATATGACCAAGAGACTGCAAATAACCATGACATTTGACATCATAATACACTACACCTTGGAAATGCATGATACATACCTTGGATAAATAGTCAAGATCACAAGTCTGTTGTTGGGAATTTAAAAATAGCATTGTAGGAATGACAAAATTAATTCAAACTCCTTTGGCAGAAAAAATTTATTTAAGCCTGTCACCATATAGACTTTGATTTCAGGAAACTTAAAAAAACATAAATTATTGGTTTATATCTAATAACCTCAAGTTCAAGGATACATTGCCAAAAGCACCCTGGCCTGAGCGGTGTGTGCCACCACCTCTCACACGAGGAATCCTGGCAACAGCACGGCCCGTACCCCAGGACTCAGCAGACGTCTGATGGCCGGCAAGCTTGTTCACAGCATAAGGTTGCCGTTTGTTCTTAGCCATGTTAGTGTGGACAAAGCCAACAACATCAGGACGAATGGGAGCTTTGAACACTGCAGGCAGGGTGGTCTGTCCAACATTTTCTCCTGCCTCATCGTATACTGTTATTAGTGGTCTAGCCGCCTAGAAGAAACAAAACCAGGCGTGTGATTTTTAGTCTTACATCATGCTTATCCATTAATTGTAACATAGAGAGCACAATTTTTTAAGTGGCTAATGAGCAGCTTAGGAGAGCTTCAGAAGCAGTTCATCTTGGTAGTCTTGGAAGCTAATTACAGGAAGATTTTTAAAAATAGACAGTCCCCAAAAATGACACCATGCAAAGATTCCCAAATAGTTCTTACTGTGTCACATCAAATAGACAAAATTTGGCTGCTTACTCCAGTTGTGAAATAATTTGGATATATCAACAAAGTTGAAATGGTAAATTGGCCACCATAACGATTACCAACGCAGCCCCAAACAGTTTCTTTCGAAACTATCAGCCTTTACTCCAGTTGTGTACCACTCTACAGATAAAATAACAGCTGAATAACTAAAATTGAGTTACTCCAGTTTTATGAACCCACTTTATTTGAGAGTGCACAAGACTTAATTTGACCAGAATAACTGAAAATGTACCAGAAGCCTGCCATAAGGGATAATCCTACACACACTCCATGCCTGCTTTTTTTATCACCTAGTCTCAATTTTCATAGTTGAGTTATATTCACGAGGAAATATCTTTTATCTCCAGACACAAACACCACACATATGAAAATCTGTGATGAGCATTTCTTTCTGCAACAGTTTTGAAGGCAAGGCAGTATTTGACCATCGATTAGACTTCAGAAGCATCGAGGAAACCCTTTTATTAGATGGCCAGACATAAATCATAAAATCCAAATGATTCTACAGTTCAACTGTATGTACATAAGTCATCATTACAGACGACACATGAAAATTTCGTCTCTCATCTTTAACTCGTGCAACACAAACCATGAAATTCGATCAAGAATAGCCTTATTTTCTCCCAGCTAATCTGATGTGTAGTACATATTCCTTCGTTTGTTACGTTCAGAAAGCGAATACCTCGGTAACTCTTCCCCAGAGGGACAGACTTAAAACGTTCACAGTTAAATTGTAGCTTTCTATTCGAAATCGTCGAAGGTTCATAGTCGCATTTTTCTTGTGTTCCCAAAACTATTTAATCTCCAGACAAGATCGAACGACACCATAACGAAACTAAACCGCCAAATTATATGTCAAATACTTGATGTTTTAACATCAAACTTGGTTAGTTTACAGACTAATTTACATTTAATCCAAATGATATGATGGAAAGTTTTGGCTGGATTACTAAGCAAAATAATTTAACTTTTTTGTCTTCTCACTCACCATGATAACGTAATTTCAAGATGGCCGGCGAAAGAGAAAGAATGTACCACGTGTGTAAAGATTAGAGGGGCTGCCCAGCGAATCTCGAAGGGTGTGTAGTGCCCAGATCTCTGCATTTTTTATTTTTTATTATTTTTACAATTTCTTCGTTTAGTTTGTCATTTTCTCGCATTCTCTTTGCTTTCATTTGGCAATATTGAAATTTTATTTAACACTACCTGTTTTCGGATGCAATATACAGCAGCCTACAGCAGTATTCTTTTAAGAGCCCAAGTCCACAATTCTCTGACGGTGGGTTATTACTTTATGATCACTAAATCATAATTAATTACATCGCGATCTGTAGCCGGAACGGAATGCTGTGCATAAATTAGGAGGAATCCATTCCAAATCTGTTAAATTGTATTCTAGAACTACTTTAATCTCCAACAGAAGACTAAAAATTTTTTATTTAACAGTTTCTAAATCAATCCTCATATTCTACGATCGAGAGAAGTTCAAGATGAACTTGTGCGCAGTTTTGAGTTATACTCTCCTCAGCAAAACAACAAGTTAAAACTTCATTCACAAAGAGTATGTCAAAATGATCATCCGTTAGCTAGTATACAATGGCGTAAATGCACACTGCGAACGCAATCTCATTGATCACGACACGGACTAAATGAGCTCTGCTCCATTTTACAACACGATCCACCACGTACGTATGATCCTTCTTGGAACAGACACTTTCGTCGATGATAGGATCGATGAAGTATGGCTTCAGAACTAACAGAGTGTAAGGCATGTTAAACAAGAGCAACCCAGCGACAATTAGCCACGGCAGACCACGGGTGCGGTCCATGTAGTACAACACGACGCCAGAGATCTGAGGGAAAGCAGACAAACTCATCATAAGTCGTGCACAGCGATGGAAGCTCGTCAGCCATTGGCGATGGATTGCTACAGGGTCCTTCATAGTCATTCTTGACGGCTGCTCCACGGCAACAACATACACAGCTATTCCTGTCATCAGCCCGCAAAGAAACGTGTTCACGCACTCGACAATCGGGAAGACTTTCTCTGGGTTCAAATTCAAGCTTGCCATTCTTAAAATGCCTACTGAAAGCTCTCTTCTTGTTTTCTGATCAGAGAAACTCGCATTTATGATCGAACGCGGATCAACCTTTCCAAACAAATAAACACACCCATTACAGTGTTACCCGTGGCGCGGCAGCGTGACATGGCAGCTAAGAACAAATAAAAGTATGACACCTGCCCATTCAGTGTTACATATATGAAAAGACAGCGAGTAAGCTATTCTAGTTAAAGCATTCTTATGAGAATCACTATCTCTCCAGTAGGCAAAACTTCTGCAACCGTAAGCAAATTTGTCATGACGATTACCTTGCGCTGTTGGCGAAGAAAAATACCTTTAAGTTATTTTGCTTGCATATTCAGTAAGAGTGAAAGAATTTCAAAACTGGAAAGTCTGCTTTAGCGTTCCAAGCTCGAAGGACTTCTTTACTAGTCGACAAAGCAAGAGAGACACTTTTGATGACATATGCAAGACTAGAACCTGTTGTCAAGGTGGATCCGGCCATGGTCCTGCAGACTGCAGATAAAACCAATTAGAAACCCTCGCTTATCGAGGCAGATTTGATCGCCTGTAGCACACACAGGGAGTTGAAAAAGAGTTCCCTAAGATACAAGTGACTGTACCCGGTCGTCAGATCTGACAGAAAAACTAAAGAATATTTGTAGGAATAGAATAAATTTTTGTTTCGTTCAATTATTAATTTTTTGGTTTCCTTCTCCTTTTGAGGTGATCAATTTTTAGGGAGAAAATTTTTTGCAATTTCGCCTTTTAGTCACGAGGTGTGAACACAAGAAAAACATCCAAATATGCACATGTTCGCTTTTATGTAAATCGATCTTTCTGCATTTAATATTCACTCAAGGGCACAAAGGTCGAAAGTGTGTTAGTGCGGATCTGGAATATTACGCCGACTTGTATCGAATCATGGACGTTGAAGATGCACTGAAGCTGGTAAAATTCGCCTCAACCGTTGCTACGGGTGTTATAGCTGGCGGTGCAATTTACATCAACCTTGCAGAGCATCCTGCGAGAATGCAACTTGATGATGTCCAATCGCTTCATCGCCAATGGCGGGAGAGCTTCGATCGAGCGAAGTACTTGATGGCCGGGACATCGCTGCTGCCGGTCGCTGGGGGAGTAGCAGCGTTTGCTATCGATCAGAGCAAAGGAAAACCTTGGCTTATCACTGCCGGGCTGATGGCTTTCAATATGCCGTACACAGCTCTCGCCATGAAATCGCGTGTCATCGACCCCATATATGATTATGAAGTCGCTGGAAAGATGGATCCCGGAAAAGTGCGAGACACTGTGGATAAATGGAACACTTTTCACAAAGTCCGCACCATCATAGATCTGTCAACATTTGCCTGGTGTGTGTACAATCTTGTCTACAACTGAGAGGCGGCCATGTTGAAAATTGAGTTGAATGGATTTTGAAATCAGGGACATTCTGTGGAATTGCGTTCACCCTAAATTACGGTATATTTAAGGGGAATTTTCTCTAATATTTTTGTGATGTTATGTAATTGTTTTCGAAGACTGTATTCGTACATAACCGATTTTGTCGAAAATATATGTGTTCCAAGACAATTGGGGTCGCTTGCGAAGTTCTGTAAACCAACAGACGTTATTTTGTACATTAAGGTACAGTGCAGATAATGAATCATTAAAAGACTTTGAACCAGATACCATTGAGTTTTTTTCCCATATTTTTAAGCCAAGCTACAATTTATATTTCCTCGTGCCTTTTACACCACAAGTTTTAGTTTAGAACAGCTTCGATAGATTTTCAGAGGTTAGAGAAAGACATTTGAATTCTTTGTCTCGACATTCAGTGCCGTTATCAGCTGTTAACTAAACAGCAGGATGTTTCTGCACAGTAAATCAATGATTGAGCGTCGCTAACTGTGACTCGCTCGCGACCGGTCGGTTTTTACAGTCGTACGCAGACCTTTTTTTCTATGAAGTGTTCTACTCGTCTTCGATAATTGCAAAATGATATAAAAGCTTGCAGTGGAGCCATGGTGCATAAACACCTTGCTAAAATATTCAAAAAACATTGGGCACGTGAAACACTTAAGCTTAAAACAGAAAGATCCCTTGTTTCTTCTAATGCTATATTCTAAAGCAACGAGCTCCCTAGTTTTCAGATTGTTGTCAAGTTTCGAAAAAAAATTAACAAACAGAAATCGTTACGCGACTTTTCAAATCACTGCGCCCACGCTATGTCCGTGACGCAGCAGTTGTCTTATTAACAAAGTGCGTAGTCTTTGACGCGCAGACTTTGGGTGTTGTTCATTCCTTTATAACAAGGGTCAAGTACTTTAAAACAACTTCATAGCAAAAATGAGGTTTGATTTGGACGACTTGTTTCCTTATCTCGAGGTCATGTCCACTGTTGCAGCCGGTATGTTCGTGGGAGGTGCGATATATGTCAATGTTGTTGAACATCCTGCTCGAATGACCGTGGAAGATACCAAATCTTGTCACAAAGAGTGGATGGAAAGTTTTGATCGAGCAAAAGTTTTGCAGAGTCGCCTGGCCTAAATCTCCATGGTCTCTGGAGCTGGTGCATACTACTGTAACCCAAACAAGGGTCTTCCTTTTCTCGTCGGAGGAGGACTGATCGCAACGATCTTCCCGTTTACGTTGTTCGCTCTGATCCCAAACACGGTTGATCCCATTTACGATAAAGAAGTAGCAACCAAGAAGAGTGAAAGCGTCGTGAGGGAGACCATAGACAAGTGGAACAGCTATCACATGGTCAGAAGCATGATTACCTTTCCAATTTTTGTAGGATACGTCTTGTACCTTGCCAGTGGCCATAAAAAGTTCTGGTGAATCGAAGATGAGAACAAATTGTGACAGTCACATGACATCGTAGATATGTTATAGAGTACAGTAATCAGTGTTATTAGATTAGAAGTGTATAGAACTTTTTTCACCCATGTAACCTGCGAACATATCATTTTACTGAAACCAAAGGAGGATTTTCCTTAACTTTTCAAAATTCTCTACAGGGAATTTATCTACCTTGATAAGCTTTTAACATACAGCCTGCGGAGCAGGTGCAATTTTGGTGAGCTGGGGTTCAGTATTTTCCTTGTGGAAAGTATAGCCACCATCTTTGATTTTTACAGCAGTGGAAATCAGGGGAGAGAAAGGAATTTTTACTGGAGGGGTGAGCAATGGCAAAAGGAAGGAGAGGAGAAGGAGTAGGGAAATGGAAATTATTTTTTGCATTTCCCTGCCCCCTCCCCCCCTCCCCACCCTGTCTAACAATAAATCAAACTTTGCCAGGTGAGTCAACAATTGTGAGCTTGTAAAGATCACTTGCCCCAATGAGACACCTAGAATGCAAACAAAGCTTTCAATTGACAATAAAACTTGTGTCTGATATCACAAAGGACTGATTCATATTGGCCTACAATCAGAAATTCTTTCTTTTTGTTGTGTGAAAGGTGTGCTCTTGGAGACTAGAGGCATATGAGTTTAACAAGTTGAATTGCAAAATGTGGGAAAAGTGAATTTCTATTCATTTTCCTTTGTGGTGACTGAAAGAAATGCAATCTTCATGTATCTTTTAGTTGCAACATGTAAGCAAGGTTGGGAATTAAAGGTTGTAGGGATAAGTAGTGTTTTTATTGAATATAATTCCTCTCTCTCTCTTTGAATGCCATATTTTTTTGTCTAAGACATTCCTGTAAATAAGGCTTGCTAAACTTTTTGGTTCTACTTGATTCTGGAAATATTTTATTCATACACTGACACTCAAGCTGGGAAGATGTCCATTTGATTAAGGGTGGAGTGCACTGTCGGTAATTTGCAGGGAGGCCATTCACTTTGTGATCTTCTTTTCTGAGTCTACAAAAAGAAAACTAGTTGAATAGAAGGGAAGACTCCATGAATTTGAATACATGAAAATCATATATGTGTACTGCAGTTTCATGAAATGTAT